ACCGACGTTTCGGAGGAACGTATCGCCTCCATCTTCAGGGTAGAAGGAAAAATATAAGAAGGCGATACGTTCCTCCGAAACGTCGGTTAACACCACACATACACGGTGCCAAATCCTAGAAGACTGCTTTCTTCAACATATTTACTGTCTTTCTGAGGGTCTCAATTGTGTATAAGAAAGTTATACTTCTTCCAGTATAATAAGGGATCATTTTGTGAGGTTGTGGACTGCTATAAGAATGATTTCATATATAATTTAAAATTACAATTTTGATACTTCATTTATGACTGGTAATTATATTTATCGTAATGATCACACATAATATTCATCTGTAACAGCGATGTTATAAAAATCAGAGAACCCCAATTAAACAGAATACACGTAACATCTATGATATATGTGATCTAACCTGCTAATGCTAACTGCATAATGAAGAAATTCATCCGAGATTTTCTTTTTTTGCTCATGAAAAGTGCAAGCAAGACGGATGCGTTCCCCAGGACGATGAGCGCAAACAGAATCCACAGGACAGCAAACTGCTCCGTCTGCAACAATACATAAGGACAAGTCCGTTAAACAAACATGAATCGTGCGCAGACGAGACCATCCATCAGACCCTGTGTAGTTCAGCACGTATTATTGTCGCCACTTTCGAAACACCTTCCTGTTGGCTGGCAATATGACTACATTAGACTTCTTACATTAGTCATAGAATAAACTACTATTTACAAGGAAAACAGACCTTTTAGAAGCTGATATTCACAAAATGACCAAGAGAGACAAAATACTCTTACATAAATAGTCTTAGCCGGTAGGGGGCGCCATATTAGGAAATATTTTACTTTCTTCTATTGCTAGTAGGGTGGGACTAAATCCCTTGTACTGAGGCCAATTCTGGCCTATTGTACTAGCCCTAGATGATAGGTGAGGGTGATTGTGGAGCAATTGGTGCAATGAAGATTGGCAAGGGAAACCGAAGTACTCGGAGAAAACCTGCCCCAGTGTTCACAACAAATCCCACTTGACCAGACCCGGGATCGAACCCGGGCCGCCGCAGTGGGAAGCCAACGACTAACCGCTTGAACTATGAATAAAATTTACATATGCATAGACCCAAAATAAAGAATTAAAGGATGTGAAATTGCGGCTCCTATGTGGCCACAGAATTGAACCACACCTGACAATCCATCTTCCAGGAAATATTTTGCCAAGATGTTTGGGGGAGTGACTTAATGTAACGGCAAAATTTGGTACCCCTGGTGGCCTCTAGTGAAAATGTTTGAATTGAAGAATGTAAAAGTACAACATTCATTTTGTGGCCTTTAGTGTATTCGGACGCAAGGACTTGCGAAACCAAACCATCATTTTTCGGACACCTATATAAGGAAAACGGTTTGCGATTGACTGCTTGTGCATGTTATCGTGTCTAATAGTTTTAAACGTCACTCTTAGCGTATTATTCTATAAGATGAAGGGCTGCAAAGGAATAAGGCAGAAAGCGAGGGAAGTTTGTAGCATGAAATCTTGTGTAACGAATGATGTGTCCTTCCGTTGAATTCTCAATGGGCGTTACGGTAGTTCAGTTGAACAAATGAATTATAGAGGCCGTGTTTGTCTGCATATTTCATGTCCTGAGCTACCCAACCGATTTCAGTGCCAGCTTAGCTCCCCTCTGAAATAGTTGGGGACAGTTATAATTTGGATCCATATTTTGCCAATTTAATACGTAACGTACATTAAACTAAAAGAAAACTCTTATAGATTAAGCACTTTAATTATGATGGCCTTAAGAGAGTACAGTAAAATCATGATATAACAGAGTTCATATTCCTTTGTTTTTCCATTTTATTTGTAACAGGTAAGAGTCCCGGTTAGTTCATTTTATGAGTACACAGTCTGATATCTCATTCTTAGAGCACAATATATGTGGAATATGAGGAGACTGTACTGATTTTGGGGCGAACTAAAAGTAGTGAAGGGCGAAGGAAAAGGTAGCGAGTGGCTTAATAATTTGTACTTTTTCCGATCATAGTTTCAGAGCGGGGGTAATACAAACAAAACACGTTAGGGGAATAGTGTGTAAGAATATCTGTCGTACTGAACTGGTTTAGATAAGGGTCGAAATTCGGGTATTTTCGTAATATTCTTGAACTGCATAATGAAGAGCTTCATAATTTGACCATTCGCAAAGTATAATTAGAATGATCAAGTCAAGGAAGACGAAATGGGCAGGGTATGTAGCACGCATGAGGGGGAAGTTTGTTTTGGTGGGAAAGCCAGAAGGAAAGAGACCACTAGAAAGATCTAGACATAGGCATAAGATAATTTGAAAATGGTTGTTAGAGGAAAATAATGACTGTATTATGGTATGGGTTCATCTAGCTTAGGATAGGGATCATTGGAGGATTCTTGCGAATATAGAAATGAACCATCGGGTTCCACAAAACTTTGGGAAATTGTTGAGTAACTGAGAGACCTGTTGTTCATGAACTTTCGGGTTACGTATCAACACTGAATATTTGATCGGCAAATGTGCCTACATTTATTTACTTCAACTCTAATTATGGAGACAGAAGGTTCCTTCAAACCTCAGTAAACAGGCAACAATACGGTATCATAACCCTGAAGACCTCGATATTACTCTTGTCTTCGTGAGACTCATATTTCACCTATAGATTTCTTAAGGACTGCCCGGCATGTGAAGCCGGTTTCTTAACTAGTACTGATTTATTGGTTTCTGTGAACCCCAGGCAATCTTTTGCAGTGAATCTTAAAAGGGATTGTGGGCTAACTTATGATGATGGTGATGATGATGTTGAAATGTGATATCAAGAAAACTTGGGAGGGGGGGAGATTTATAGACATTGCGATGTTACGTACAATACTTTCTTTCAGAAGCATACTAGCACGATGAGGTGTACGGTGAAGGTAGGCCTGACTTCAGCTATTGTATGTAAATTAGGAGGCTGCAACCCGGGTCGGAATACGCATCAGTTAAACTTATAAGATAAGGAGGCGATTGTAAAATGCAAAGAATATGATTTCGACCAGCTCCTTCTAATCAGTGCAGTAAGGATATTTTCCCTTCAGTTATTCCGGACACGAATGCGTTGTGCCAGGAAGGGGTTCATGGTATCTGTCGTCTGTATGTTTATTCTATATCTATTTGGAAATTTCTGTCTTTGTGAGGTTCGTTAATCCCTTATTTGCCAATTGAAAAACATATAATCCTTTTCTTTGAAATTATGTCGACGGGCTGAAAGAATATTTTCCCCTCTCCAGTAGGAGCATATTTTCTCTTTGCTATCACGACGAGATCGGTTCATAGCCAGTAGATCCCGAGGGTACAGCTACAGGAGCATGAAGCTAACGATTCACCGCCGTCTGCTTCCTAGGTGAAGAATTCGCGCACCTCTACCTGTGCTTCCCGGTACGTCTTCATGACGTCTGAATGCAGGAAGACTTTACCTCTGCTTCCAAGATCCTGAGACAACGCTGCGAACCGCTGAGGTGAGAATAACACCAGTATTAATATTGTAACATGGATGGCGCAAAGGGAAGTAGGGGCCACGTGAACTCTGCGGTCTCGCGAGTGACGTTACATACCCTCACCCCTTCCATTATTACGCAACGCTCGGTAAACATTCCGTCGCCTCCCGCGGTGACGTAACAGCACTTCACATTGTGACGTAACAGGGGACACCGCGCTTACTACGCAGCAATAAACAACTCTCGGCAACGTTCCCCAACAACTCCTGTAAGCACGACGTTACGCAACAGTAAAAACTATCACGTAACTGTTTTCTGTGTTGTCAGTGCGGAAGCTACATAACAGGAGTATTCGTCAGTGAGGGGAAGTAACCAGCCAGTTGCAGTCTAGCATTCGCCGGAGTGAATCAGAGCAGGAGAAGTAGTTGTGACACTGCAGATGGCAGTAGTTTTGAGATTATAAATTGTGTAAATGTAAGAGCGAGTGGAATAAATTCGCTATATCCAAGACGGCGTGAGGTTATTTGTCGCGTGTCATATGCCCAACACGTGACAATATAATGTATTTCAGTTGTGTAGGGTGAAATTTATTTTAAAAGTACAAATTTACATTGTGGTCACGTTTAAAAAGTTAAGAATATCAACATGAACACCATGCCTTTGGTGTGATGACAGTTATTCAACAGTTTCAAAGTAAACTGTGAATACACTGAGATCACCAGAACTTGGGCTCCTCCTCTTGTGTGTTTCTGTATGTTACTTCGATAGTCGTGCCAAATGAATAATAGCAGGACTCGTGTCTGACGTTTTGTTGCATTTAATTTAATTGGAAGACATCTGAGTCTTTCCGTAAAACAAACAACATAAATTATATCGCTTTGAAATATAGTGACAAGGAGAATGGATGTGAAATATGGAGACTTCTGAACTCGCGACCTCTCGCATATGAGGCAAGAATGCTAACTGGATCACACAATTAGAGGTTTCCAAGGAAGGAGGCCGAACTCTGTTTTATTTCTCAAGTATGTTCGGAGCAGATATGGATTTCTCTGCACGGGTACGTCTATCCACTGTTGAGGATCAAATTTGGGATTGAAAATTTAAGTCATTACCNGGCTTATTATTTAGATGTCCATTTAGCAGTTAAGCTATTCAACTAGAAGTTCAACATAAATGTAATATGTTGTAGGTGTTTCAAAAAAGAATTTAAATTTGTATATTTAATTTAATAATTTTTGTTAAATTTATTTTTATTAGATGTAATCGCCGAGATTAAGAATGGACAGAGCGCTATCCTGAAGTCTCCTCTACTCATTTGCAAGTTTCAGAGTGTAAGATAGGTTACATTTAAATTTCAGAAGCAGACTACAAACTGTCAGCCGACGTATTATGCTGAATTAGCCGTATTGCATCGGAATTTCGCCTTAACCTTGTTCTTTTCTACGAGAACATCTTGATATTAACCCTTTAAGTAGAACAAATCAATCATTAAATTGTTATATGAACTACATGGATTTTAACCGTTTAAGCAGAATAAATTAACCATCATGCAAATGTTATGCCAGCAATAAGGATATCATTTACAAACGAAATAAGGTGTATTTTTTATTTATGAAATGGACGCAGAATTTAAGTACCCGTATGTAGGACGAAATTCTTTCATTATCTATTTCCATTTTCTCCTTCGTTTTGAGGCTGATAACTTTTCTCCTTACAGTGCTACTACATTTAAATAAGCAACACTAGTTTACACATGATGGAAATGAAATATATTTATATGAAGACTTCAGAAATTTACAACGAGCGGAAAGTTGTACTTCTGGTTGTAGTGCAAACGGCCTGTTGTTGAACATCTGGTAGATTAAAGTACTGATAGACTCGAATAGTTGTTATTATTGTCTAAGGGGATATCAATATATGTTGATATTGTGACACTAAAATAATAAATTATCATCTAGAATTGTTAAATTTAATTCAAATTCCTTAAATAGAAATGAAAAAAAAACTTTTTAATGCATTATTTTATGTTCTCCAGAATTCCTGACCTAAGAGTATA